GCGCCCGAGGAATCGCATCGGAACAGTGTAAGCGTTCAAGCAAACCACTTCTGAAGATGCAAGCCACTCGTGCTTGCGAAACGTCACGAAGAAATTCTACCGAACGACGGCCTAAAAACCCATTAGTTTCAAATAATTATGTCTTAATTTGCTTAACTAACATAAGTACCTAATAATCGAATGAAGATTAGACCCTTTGGGTAATAAATTCCTAATATTGCAGATTGACGCCCTTATATGCATTTGTAATATTTTATTACGCCACTGTATTCGATTATACGGGAAAAGGGCCCCTATGGAAAGTCATTGCAGGGGCAGATTCGGACGACTGCAAGCAAAACTGGTGGACCAACTTACTATACATTAACAACTACGTTAATGCTGACCATATGGTAAGTCGTTGAAAAAGCGACAAGATTTTTAGCATTGTAATTTGCGCGAAACGTAGGTAAGATGCGCCTGAAGTAATTAAATGTTAGTCTTGACCGAAGCGTCGGAAAGCTTAGAAAAGTGTGTGGTCAAGTTCAGAAAAAAGCTTATCAAAACTCTGGTAATTTTACTTCCTTGCGTTTTTTCATTGAAATAATCGTAAATAATCAACAAATTCATCGCTGCGCAAAGTGAATTTCATTGCATAATGAATAAACAATCAACAATCGAACAATGCAAACTATAAATCAGTTCCAACTGTGTTAATTAAACAGTACACTGGTGCACGCTCTAAATATAAAATTATGATTCAAAAAGATCCGTAGCTTGGCACGTTGTCTTAGCTTGAAGCAATGTGCGATAATAAAGCAATTCTTATGCGATTGGAAAAAGTAGGCAATAGATACACACGTTGGCATTGCTTGCAAAACTCTTATGATTGTGTTATTTGCCTTATTATTTCTTGTACAATGTTTTGATCTGATTAATTTGCATTACAACGTGATTTGTCAATTTTTTATTTAAATAAACCGTTTTATGTAGTTTCAAGCCTCAAGATCTATTATAGTCTGTTAGAATGTATATTTGATTCTACGGCAAAAATAATGCGTTGATTGGCATTGTCGCAGGTACCAATCCAGCAAACCAATCAGGTCAAACCAAACTGGTGACTTTCTGGGGCTTTTAGATCGTCGTGGAAAACAACTTCTGTATACCCGAAAAACTCCCCAGTTTCATTGTTCAAGTCTGTTTGCATAAGACCCGAAGTTTTCCACTGGATTGCATGCATTATTTAGATTAGCGCACATGTAAACACATATCATTACCATTCACTTTTGCTGATTCATCCGCTTGAAGGGAACAAGAATCTGTTTTAGTATCCTTGGCTAGTGGAAAAATCTGTTTTGTGTAGTTTTTCACTTTTGCTCATTAAGTGGGATTTGCAAAATCGACAAAACCTTTAATTATATTCTCTTCCTTCCTGCGTTTCAGTCACAGTCTGAAATATATAAATTTTTTGATATATCGTTTATTTCAAATTACGTTTCGGCGAGACAACAGCGCCATCATCAGATTTAAAATTCATAATTGGTAAACATAACATTCTTTTAGGTCTTTGCTGTCTTGAAACCTTAAATTTGTTTGAATTATTTTCTACATTTGC